TAAAAGTATCTATTAAATCCAGCTGATCTAATGTGTCATAATGTGTCATTACGGCCACTGTTTCCATATTTTGGTTTTCTGTCTGTAGAATCTGTCCCTTGGTGTTAGTGGTGTGTTGAAGTCCCCTACTATGATAGTGTTACTGTTGATCTCTGTCTTTATGTCTGTCAATATTTGTTTTATATATTTAGGTGCTCCTGTGTTGGGTGCATAGATGTTTACTAGGGTATGTCCTCTTGTTGGACCAATCCTTTTATTATTATGTAGTACTCTTCTTTGACTTTTATTATAGTCTTCATTTTAAAGTCTATTTTGTCCGATGTAAGTATTGCTACTCCAGCTTTTTTCTCATTTCCATTTGCATGTTTTCCATCCCTTTACTTTCAGCCTGTGTGTGTCTTGATCTGAGTTGAGTCTTGTATACAGCATATGCATGGGCCTTGTTTTCTTATCCACTCAGCCTCCCTGTTTCTTTTATTGGAGCATTTAATTCATTTATATTTAAATTATTGTTAGGTACATAGTTATTGCCATTTTGTTTTTCATATTTTTGGTCTTCGTTGGTTTGTTTTCATCTTCTTAAAGAAGCTCTTTTAACACTTCCTGCAATACTGGCTTAAATTCCTTTAGCTTATTCTTTTCTGGGAAGCTCTTTATCTCTCCTTCAATTTTAAATGATAGCCTTGCTGCGTAGAGCAGTCTAGGTTGTAGGCCTTTGTTTTTCATCACTTTGAATATTTTCTGCCACTCCCTTCTGACCTGCAAAGTTTCTATAAAGTCAGCTGATAGTCTTACGGAGCTCCCTTGTAAGTAACTTGCTGTCTATCTCTTGTTGCTTTTAGGATTCTCTCTATGTCTTTAACCTTTGCCATTTTAACTATGATGTGTCTAGGTGTGGGCCTGTTTGGGTTCGTCTTGTTGGGAACTCTCTGCACTTCTTGGGCTTGTATGTCGATTTCCTTCACCAGGGTAGGGAAGTTCTCAGTCATTATTTCTCCAAATAAGTTCTTGATCCCTTGCTTCCTCTCTTCTACTTCTGGTATTCCNTGACCCCCAACCATAAAATTATTTTCGTTGCTACTCTATAACTGTAATTTTGCTACTGTTATGAATCGTAATGTAAGTATCTTTTTGTTTTCCGATGGTCTTAGGCGACCCTTGTGAAAGGGTTATTTGACCCCCAAAGGGGTCGCGACCCACAGGTTGAGAACCACTGCCTTAAAGGAAGACAGGTATTAAAACCACATCTGGGCTCTGGAGTGTTCTTTATTAATGGTGTGTCATTGTTTTCAGGCCCTCCCAGCAGATAGGAGAGAGATTGAGAAAGAGAGAGAGAGAGAGGGGGAGGGGGAAGGGGAGGGGGAGGGAAAGGTTGATTGAGATTGAACATATCTAAAAATTAATTTTTCTCCTATCTGTATAATTGAAATGTAGACCTTTTTTTTTTTTTTTTACAAAACTCTAATTAGATACAGATGTGTATTTTTGGATAGATGTCATTCCTTTTCTCTTAATTTTTAACAGGTGGCTAAACCCCTTGTTTAAAATTGGTCACAAACGGAGATTAGAAGAAGATGATATGTATTCAGTGCTTCCAGAAGATCGCTCAAAGCATCTTGGAGAAGAGTTGCAAGGGTAAGCAACAGCCAGTAAGGAGGAGGGTAAGAAAGAAAGACCATCTAAGCATGTGGCTAATGGTTTGGACTGGGTATGGCCTTCCTTTGGGCCCTCCTGGAGCCTACTTCTCCTAACATTGCACATTTACCTCCCCTCAGGCTGTCATTGGACTTAGCCCACTTTGGCAGCTGGGGGAAACCTGTGTTTCCTATGCATTTATGGGAGTGGAAGGAGCTCACAGCAATGGCCCCGAACGCTGAGATCTGTCCCTGGAGGAGGAATCACTGGAGGAAGTTGTCTGTATTCCCGTCTGCCCGCATGGGCTGCTCACGGTGCTGTAAATCCAGCAGAGCTTGGCAGTAACTTGTTTCCTGAGATGGGAATTCTTTCCCTCCAGGCCTGTTTTTCAGATGTTGCACCACACATCTTGCAGGAGCCCTGCAAATAATTAGCTAGCATTTATGGGACAGCCATGAAATGTCCTGTAATAAACACTTCGCTTATCTTTCATTCTGCCAGTTCCCCCATGTTGCCCTATGGCATGGCATGCTGTTCTTCACTGTGCTTTATTTCTCATTGCAGGTACTGGGATAAAGAAGTTTTGAGAGCTGAGAAAAACTCACAGAAGCCTTCTTTAACAAAAGCAATCATAAAGTGTTACTGGAAATCCTATTTAGTTTTGGGAATTTTTACGTTAATTGAGGTAAAGCCTTTTTTTTTTAAAAAAAATTAGTTTCAGGTGTACAAAATAATGTACTAGATATTTACGCCCCTCACAAAATCTACTCCCCCAATCTACTACCCCTCTGACATCGTATATAGCTGTTACAATTCCATTGACTCTATTCCCCATGCTGTATTCCATATCCTGTGACTATATATGCATTAAATTATAATTGACATTCAATATTATTCAGCTTCAGCTTCAGGTGTACAGCACAGTGGTCAGGCATCTAAACCGTCCATGAAGTGGTCTCCCTAATATGACAGGTGCCCATCTGAACCCCTACAAAATCTTTACATTATTGGTTATATTCCCCAAACTGTCTTTCGTATCCCTGTGGCAATATTGGTGGCTACCAATTTGTGCTTTCGAATCCCCTCACCTTCTACCTCATTCCCGTCCCCTCCCATCTAGCAGCCATCAGTTTTTCCTCTGTGTCCGTGAGACCATTTCTGTTTACATTACTCATTTATTCTGTTCTTTAGATTCCACATATAAGTGAGATCATGTGGTATTTGTCTTTCTCCATCTGACTAATTTCACTTAGCATAATGTTCTCTAGATCCCGTCCATATCGTTGCAAATGGTAAGATTTCATTCTTCCTTATGGCCGAGTAATACTGTGTTGTATAAATGTACCACAGTTTTTTAATCCAGTCATCTACCGATGAGCATTTCGATCATTTCCATGTTTTGGATATTGTGAATAGCACTGCAATAAACATAGGGGTGTATATACTTTTTCGAATTAGCATTTTGCATTTCTCTGGATAGATACCTACGAGTGGAATTGCTGGGTCATAATGGTTCCATTTCCAGTTTTTTTGAGATACCTCCATACTGATTTCCGTAGTGGCTGCACCAATCTGCAATCCCACCAACAGTGCAGCAGGGTTCCCTTTTCTCCACAGCCTCGCCAGCACTTGTTTGTTGATTTATTGATGATAGCCATTCTCACTGGGGTGAGGTGGTATCTCATTGTGGTTTTCATTTGCATTTCTCTAATGATTAGTGAGGTTAAACATTTTTTCATATGTCTGTTGGCCATCTATATGTCCTCTAGAAAAATATCTCTTCATGTGCTCTGCCCATTTTTTAATTGGATTGTTTGTTTTTTTTGGTGTTGAGTTGAATGAGTTTTGTTTTTGTTTTTGTTTTAGCTGAGCCATCCTGCAACCTATTGGCAGCTCAGCAGCTCAGCTCGGGCCAGGAATCAAACCGCTTTTGCTCAGAGCTCTCACTCTTTAGTGAGCTCTTAACCAACTGAGCCACTGGGCCGGCCCTGAGTTGTTGTTTTTTAAAAATAAATTTTGTATATTAACCCCTTATCAGATGTATCATTGACAAATATCTTCTCCCATTCAGTAGGATGCCTTTTTATTTTATTGATGGCTTCCTTTGCTGTGAAAAGACTTTTTAGTTTGATGCAATCCCATGCTTATTTTTTCTTTCACTTCCCTTGCCCAAGGGGATATAGCAGTAAAAATATTACTAAGGATAATGTCTGCAAATTTACTTCCTTATTTTCTTCTAGGAGTTTTATGGTTTCGGTTCTTACATTTAAGTCTTTAATCCATTTTGAATTTATTCTCGTATATGGCGTAAGGAGGTGGTCCAACTTAATTTTTTTGTATATGTCTGTCCAATTTTCCTATCACCATTGAGTAGACTGTCTTTATACCAATGTAAATTATTGCTTCCATTTTCATAGATTAAATGACCATATAGGTATGGATTTATTTCTGGGCTCTCTATTCTGTTCCATTGATCTATGTGTCTGTTCTTATGCTAGTACCATGCTGTTTTGATAGCCTTGTAGTATGATTTGATGTCAGGTAGTATAATACCTCCCACGTTTTTCTTATTTCTCAAGATTGCCGTGGCTATTCGGGGTCTTTTATGGTTCCATATAAATTTTAGGATTATATGCTCTATTTCTATGAAAAATGTCATTGGTAATTTGATAGGAATTGCTTTGAATCTATATATTGCCTTATGTAGTATGGCTATTTTAACTATATTCTTCCTATCCATGAGCACGGTATGTGTTTCCATTTATTTGTATCTTCTTTCATTTCTCTCTTCAGTATCTTATAATTTTCTGATTATAGGTTTTTTACTTCTTTGGTTAAATTTATTCCTATATATTTTATTGTTTTAGCAGCAATTGTAAATGGGATTGTTTTCTTAATTTCTCCTTCTGATAGTTTATTATTGATATATACAAATGCAACTGATTTATGAATATTAATTTTGTGTCCTGCTACTTTACTAAATTCATTTATCAGTTCTGTTTTTTGGTGGAGTCTTTGGTGTTCTCTCTATATAGTATCATGTCATCTGCATATTTTACTTCCTCCTTTCCAATTTGGATGCCTTTTATTTCTTTTTCTTATTTGATTGCTGTGGCTAGAACTTCCAGAACTATGTTGAATAGAAGTGGTGAAAGTGGGCAGCCTTGTCTTGTTCCTGATCTTAAGGGGAATAGGTTTAGTTTTTTCCCATTGAGAATGATGTTAGCTGTGGATTTATCATATATTGCCTTTGTTATGTTGAGATATGTTCCCTCTATTCCCACTTTGCTAAGCGTTTTTTATCATAAATGGCTGTTGGATTTTGTCAAATGCTTTTTCTGCATCTATTGACATGATCATATGATTATTTTTCATTTTGTTAATATAGTGTATCACATTAATTGATTTGTGGATATTGAAACATCCTTGCATACCAGGAATGAGTTCCACTTGATCATGGTGTATGCTCTTTTTAATGTATTGCTGAATTTGGTTTGCTAGTATTTTGTTGAGGATTTTTGCATCTGTGTTAATCAAGGATATCGGCCTATAGTTTTCTTTTTTGTAATGTCTTTGTCTGGTTTTGGGGTCAGGGTGATAGTGGCCTTGTAAAAAGAGTTTGGGAGCTTCCCCTCCTTTTGGGTTTTTTTGGAAATTCTGAGGAGAATAGATGATAATTCTTTTTTGAATGCTTGGTAAAATTCACTTGTAAAGCCATCTGGTCTAGGGCTTTTGCTTCTTGGGAGCTTGTTGATTAGTGATTCAATTTTCAATTTTACTGAAAAGTCTATTCAGATTTTCCATTTCTTTTTGATTCAGCCTTGGAAGGTTGTGTGCTTCTAGAAAATTATCCATTTCTTCCAGATTGTCAAATTTGTTGGTGTATAGTTGCTCATAGTATTTTCTTAAATTTTTTTGTATTTCTGTTGTGTCTATTGTCACTTCTCTTTCATTTCTGATTTTATTAATTTGTGTCCTCTCTCTCTCTTTCTTGATGAGTCTGGCTAAAGGTTCGTCAATTTTATTTATCTTTTCAAAAAAACCAGCACTTGGTTTTATTGATCTTTTGTATTGGTTTTTTAGTCTCTATTTTATTTATTTCTCCTCTGATCTTTATTATTTCCTTCCTTGTATTGCATTCGGGCTTATTTTGCTGTTCTCTTTCCAGTTCCCTTAGGTGTAATGATATACTGTTTTTTTGAGATTTTTCTTGTTTCTTTAGGTAGGCCTGCATTGCTATGAATTTTCCTCTTAGGACTGCTTTTGCTGTATCCCATAGTTTGTCTCGAGGTATCTTTTGATTTCTTCCTTAATGTCATTTTTGACCCATTCATTATTTAGTAACATGTTATTTAGCCTCCATGTATTTATGTGTTTTCTAGTTTTTTTTTCTTGTAATTGATTTCTAATTCATAGCACTGTGACCAGAGATGATGCTTGATATGATTTCAGTTTTCTTAAATTTACTGAGACTTGTTTTGTGGCCTAACATGTGGTCTGTCTTGG